GTTGTTTGTCGACAGAGCAGAAGTGACTCTCCGCGCTTGCATATGAGTTGAAACTAGTAGCTAACCGCCTATCAAAGCAAGGTGGGAGAGGGCCAAGAATTGGGAGGTTGCAAACAGGGTGATAAAAGTGAACTTGGTAAGGAACGATAGGGGTGAAAAAGCGCAAGGAGGATAAAAAGACGGGAAGGCTTGAGCTGTAGCATCCAAACCCCTATCCACCCTGCTCGATGCAGCAGATAGGGGCGCTTCTCTACCTGAAAACAAAGGAAATCCTTCAGCCACTTGCCTTGGACACAGTTAGCACAACTAAACATCATCCCAGCAACACAATGGTTTTCGGTTTCCGGCACCCAGTACCAAGTCACCTAAGAATAATGGTTTGCGATTGGCAAGTTGGCCAGGGATAGAATTGCAAAAGCAAGATCATACATGCGAACCAAACGAAATGCGAATATGAGAAGAGAATGGATAACGGTATATTAGAGGCAAGGTTGTGGGAATGGGATGGTATCATGCAAAACAACGGAACAAGTAGGTGCAGCAAACACCGACAATAAGGAAAAGTCGGATAGCTCACCCGTTTGCACCGATTTCCATGCATCTGCATGGAACATAACTCAAATTAGCTAGGCATTCGGAATGCAATCCAGAGTACCTGTTCATGTAACAAAGATCAGAAGAGTAGTTGGGATGTCCAAACGCTTTCCGAAGATGGCTATAGTGGGGCACAAATAACTCAGAATGGGATTGCGTCCTAAGGTTGTTAGTGCAGAATGGATAAGTAATTGCGTCGATAATCTCTGCGACTTTATAGCTGAGTTAATTTTAAATCACACAACTCAACATTGTGCTTAGACTGAGGTTCAGAACGTTGCGGCGTACCTAGTAGTATCGGGATCATCACGTAAAGGGCGGCGGAGTCCACTAAACACTGAGTTAGTTCAGTCATTGTTAGCACAGGTGATGTGACATTCTTCGATGCTTAGTGTTGTGCAGTCTCAAACCCTGTCGGGTTATACCCTAGCTAATGTTGCCAAAGCTGAGTAACGCTTTAAACGTGGGGACGCATGCGGGTATTGATCATCAGGACAAAGATGTGTTAATCCATACTGCGGAGAAGGGAGTCGCCGTTACACTCCTGACCAGGCGCACTGATCACATCTTCACCGACAGGTCTGTGTCGCCAATGACATACTTATAGTTCCTGTACTGTTGGCTCTAGGGCCCATTAACCGCAGATTTAACACAACACTAGGTTGTTACCTTCAACATAGCTCTCTTTCCTGTGAGCGAAACGGCTGCTGCTCTTTCCGCAACAAAACTATCGCCCCAGATGTTTCGGAAGGATCTGTCCTTTAACAGCACGTTCGTGGATACTAGTAAACGCTTGGCTCCCACTCCAAACTCCTGCAACCAGCGGAATCCAGTCGCAGCATCCTTGGGCGAGATCTGGTCACTCGCCGTCCACCTCGCAACCCACCACTTCCGATAGACACTTAAAGATCATGTGTTCACAGTTCACAATGACCACCAGCCAACGATTATCGCTAAAACCGCCGACAAACACCATGTCAGACTTCTCACTCGGACACTGTCGCACTGTTCACAGTGGGCAAATACCATGTCCATCGCATCCTAAACATTGTCGAGTATGCACTCATACGGCAAATTCACCCTCCACACTCTCCCTCTCTGCCTACTGACAACCATACTGCTATGGCGCCGACTCAAAGTTAAACCGATGGACTTCAACCCACCAGCAGTCTGCTGACAACAGTCACAAGCTATTCTCCTAGCAACCACAAACAAAATCGGCACGTGTGATGCATCGACAGTTTGTCATATCTCCCTCGCAACTATCTTCTTCAGGGGCGCTGTCTCTGAAACACTTCACTCACCCATGTGCCCAGCTGTTTCACGTACACAGTCTTCGACACCTTTCACATAAATTCCCACTCTGGTATACACACACTCACTTGAAACTGGTCACCGGGTACTTCGTACGGCCAAGTTCAAACAATGAGTTCCGAAAGTGCCATCGACCTGGCGGGATTCTGCTCAGTTCATTTGACGGTTTTATCAGGTATAGTCAGAAATGACAGAGATTTCACCACATTTCCGCGGTTTCGTTTAAATCTCGACCTACAGCGATTACTCACCACGTGACCATAGGCTATCCCAGTAACAGGCTGCACATGTGAGATTGCCATTTTTCTGTCATTCGCCACGTCCATTTACTCCCAGCACTGAAGTGCAACGCATCTCGAAACGTCACCATTCCACGCACTTCGCAATTTCATAGGTTACTGGGTATTCAAACGGTGGTATATCATCCAGAAGGCAGCCCAGAGTACAGTAAAACTTCAGAAGCTGACCACCACCTCTATTTCCTGACAACCACTATAAGTTGACCGTATTATTTTCCACTGCTTGAACGTTCGCCATGTTAAACTTTTGTCCAGTCCATCGAGTGGTCAAGTTACACAGGCTTTACTGTATGAATCTGTGCCGAATTCGAACTTGGCTGAAACGGAAACATTTCGCTCGGTTTTCCACAGCATTAAAACTGACCTATGCTGTGCAGTAGCAGTGCTGGTGTCTGGTACAACATCCAACCGTCGCGGGTGTTTTGCCCTCCCGTTATCTGACTGTATACGCGATACGCCTATAAACGGATATTATTTCCCATTGTTTGAATGTTCCCCATGTAAAAGTTATCGATCTAGACCTTGTATGTTGACCACTTTTGTATAGTCCCTCGAATGGTCACCTTAAGTAAGTCTTACTGTATCAATCTGGCCCGAATTCGATCGGAACAGGAACGGAAACATTTCGCTCCGCCTCGCGCCTACATTGTGCACCAGCAGAGTTGGGATGTGATACAAAACGCAGTTGTCGCGTGAGTTTCTCCCTTTCGTCATCTTATTGCATATCCAGCAAAATGCACTTATTCTCCTCGAAACCAACACACTCGTTACGCTCCATTTTTCCTCCGGAGCATACCAGAAACGTGCACTGAGCTCTATACTTCAACTCACATCTCTGTTTGAGCCGACGCAATGCTCTACAGCTTCAGTTTTCTTGCACCAGCCCCTTAGGACTTTGCTGTGTTGGTAAAAGCAAAAATGTGAACAACCTGAGGTATTGTGAATCGCGATACGGGAGAACACAATCCACGAACGAAGGGAGTGAAACAACGACAACTTGCACAAGTTTATCGACTACAAAAAAACCAATGGAAAATGTAGTGGCTGGGCAAGCACGTGGCTTGATGCGTGTTTGTGGGCGCTGATCAAGCAAGTTCGATATGCCGGATTTTAGATTTATGTTCAATGTGTGATCAATATGAAGTAGTTCTGAACATGACTGCCGTTTCAGCCCCAGAAAAGTTCGGCTGCAATGTGGACACGCGAACCTACTGATTTTGATAAGCACCTGAACAGGAGCAGAATGCATTGAGACGAATAGAGAAGCGGGACATGCCCACAACAGTGCACAATCACTGTATGAGAGAGTTCACGGCTTTCGAATTTAAAAAGGCGAAACGCAACAGATTTGGGAAGCACCGGATTTCCCGACACCTTCCAATTTGAGTTCACTGGCACGTGCGTGTTGCCGGGTTCATACGTATTCTATCCGTTGTTTGAGGGACGCGAGCTCACCGCCTGAGTGGTGGGGGTTAGTATGTTCGATGGCGTACGATAGGATGAAAAGCACAATTTCACAAGACCCACAGGATGGAAAACGCGAAAAAAGTAAAGGCATAATGTTTCCGTGGGGAACGTGAGGTATCAGTAGTCTAGACATTGCACTTTACCATACCGTTTTGTGGCGTTTGTTAGGCATATGAAAGTCTGTCTTTAAAATCTGTGCTGAAAATGCACTCCTGAGTAAGAATACTTTCTACAACCTAATCGGGAGTGTTGATTTACTAGTTTCAGGTGGTGGCCTCGACATTTTTTGTAATGGTCTAGGATCAGTACTGACATACATAGATGATCGTTTTCTGTAAGTACCCGGTATGTGAGAATGCGATCACCGCGAAGCCGTCGGTTTTCGGAAGAGAACATGTCGACTAAACTAAAGTCCATCTCACAGTTGAGACCGGATAGTCCAATTTTCGCATTGATGGCTCATCCTTGAAGCTGCTTCAAGTGACGAAAATTTCGTTTCAACAATACTTACCAGGCCAGAATCGCCTATTCAACGTGGGGACGTATACATGAATTACTCAGCAGAGGTACTTGACGTCGCTCAAACAACTTGAGACCGTCACAAAACCCTTCGTTCAAGTTCGCCACTTCTGATGCAAACCAATATTTGAGCGAATTGGCCAGATATTTTTGGACGATGATACCAAAGTCTCTTTCACTAGGCACATGCTAAATAATTCGGTGGTTATCCTGGGTCAGCGTGTCCCTGATTTAGCTAATCCCCATGGCAGACAAAGACGCTGTCGGCAATTTCATTGCAGAACGGTATTTCCCCTTCCATCCGCTAACGAATGCTTCTATTTAGTCAGAGTCGCAGGACCGATGAATGCTGGTATACGCTTTACTTTAAGCCATAGTGGTCACTGAACAACGGTGCTCATCGGCCATCTCCAAGCCATCTTCGTCTACAACTACCGCTAACCTCTCCTAGTGCACTCCCACAGGTACTTCCATTTGTGGTGCCCTCACACGTGTCGGACGCCCAAAACCAATTCCGGTTAAAAGTTCGCCTACCCACCATCAATACCCCGATGAACTATAGTGTTCTCTGGACCATATTCCTGTGATATCAAGGCCCATCACAATACTTCACTAATATTCGCCTACCAAGGATGGCCAGTGGATTACCAAGGACACGCGGAACATCAGCGTAGAAAAGCTCTCCGTGAGACGAAGTTCGATGTGGCAGTGGGATGGCGGAGTGGCAATTTGCAATGGTGATGTCACCGTAAAACAGGAGAAAAAGTCCTACAAGCATTTTTTGTAAAACCAGCATTCTGCAGTCCGCTGAGCCCACTCCGATGGCACATCGATGAAACATGAGTCCACAATCAAGCAAGAGCTGATAGATAATCAACAACTTCTGACTGTCAAATCTGCGTAAACACTCGTTATAACGCGCCATATCACAACCCACAAATTGTCAAGTTCTCCCTAAAAGACATCCGTCGGGAGCATCACTCTGTTGGAATACAAAATGACAAACTAGCAGGTAACAGAAAAATCAGGTGGTCATTTGCGGTATTAAATATTGCCCACGTACGATATGGATAGCAGCAAGAGTACAAGCAAAGCCAATGGAGACCTCCAATACCACGATCTAGAAATAATAAACGTAACTCCAGGTGTAAAATCATCGGACTGAACTGTGATAAACACGAGCGGAAAAGGAAGGCAATCCAATCAAGCGAACAGAAGGCGAAACGGATGGAACTGATATCGACAATGTCTCCATCGAGATGTGCGACGGATGCGAGCACATAAACGTCAGGTTCATCATGAGATTACCAGACATGTATTTACAAAAATACAGACATCCTCCACAGCAGCAAGGAGTGACCGGAAGGAGAAAAGCAGACGATATCACAAAAATAGTTAATGCTCAATTATCACTCTCCATTTGTAGTGGTGAGTGAGTGTGTCGAAACAGCACCCGCAGCTTCTCAGTCCAGTAACGCTTCTTCAACTCCAATACTTCCAGCTTCTTCTCGTAAACTAGCTTTCGCAATTGCGATTCCGTTCTCGCTATGCCGGTCCCCAAGCGAGATCGCTTCGACCTGACCCAAATGTAAGCAAAGTGGAAGGATTTCAAGTCGGCAGACTATCTCATTTGACCTAAATGTCACAAGCTACAAAAGTGGCAGTAGTGGGCAGTTGGCTCAACGAACAAGTCGGTCTTATTCGCGAAACCGCCCATACAAGTCTTCCATTATAAGGATACAGTAGTGGCAACAAACCCCGGATGGTATCCCCAAGTACGCACACAAATACACACAACAACCAGGTAGGAGAGATATGTACGCGCGTCGTAATCAAGGCCAAACGTGGTACAAACCACGAGAGCGTGCGAAAGCGCACACCGCCTTTTCTACTACAATGTATTGTGCACTGATCCACAACAGCACACGTGTTCGCATGCGGAATGTTGACATTCACACACAGGAAGCGCTGGCCATCGGAAACAGCTCAGTGTGACTAGGCGCAGAGCAAATACTCGCACGACATTCGCAGGGCTGGTTGCAAGTTAGCTCCTGCCGCACTATGGATGGATGATGGAAACACAGGCGACATCACTCGCGGGGATGGGTTTGCAAATCGGCACTTGTTGTCGCACTGGAACGCGCATCGGTCAGTACACTGAAGAACAGACACACCGAAAACGAGAGAACAATGTCTGCGTCAGTGGGTTTAGTAAAAGTGGTCAAGAATGCACTGCACGGAGCAGTAAATCGCGCGATAATAATATCTCATATAGCTAAGTCGTGCACATACTCACTTCAATTTTCCATCCGCAGCATCGACCATGCGCGGCGATTGAATCTTGTTTGCGCCGACCTCCGTGGTGGCAGTTTCAGGGTCTTCGTCACTGGAAACAGACAAATCAATTCGATTCACACTAGGTGCGACCGAAACATTCACCCCTGATGGTTGAACAATGGCCAGGATGTTATGCGACAGAGGGGAGTTCAGAGCACGCTCTAGTTCAGTGGACGAACTCGCTCTATCCGGTGCCTCAGTACTGATAGATATGGCCTCACTCACATTGTCTGATGTGTGTGTGGCCCTTGAACATACATGCAGAATTTGAGGACTTGGCAATGGGGTAGGAACAGGGGAGACGCGGATGCGTGGAGTAGTGTTTGTGTCAGTGAGTGGACCATTTGGCACTGTCGTGGAAAGTGTCAGAAAGGGGAGACTGTGTTGCATTGACCTCGAGGCTACATGAATTTCACCGTTCGAATTTGGTGGGTTATTACTGGTTGTGACTATTTGTGTCGAGATCGATTGTGCCAAGCAACCTGCTTCGGGATCGGATTTGCATCTCGTCGTCGGCGTTGTATCGGGTTGTGTCGGTGGTTCGCACATGGAAGCTGGAGTATTGTGTTGGGCGGAAGATCCTGTGCTCATTAGCAATCGTCGACCCTTTTCTCGGAGACGGACCCATGAGCGTTTCGGCCACCCACTGGCATGCATGTGATTTGCGATCTGCACCCAGAACGACTTATCCAGCAACATGTCCGTTTGATTATTATGCTGCAACATTTCGCGAGCCTGGAATATTAGTCGTGACAAAGCTCTGATTTCTGCTGGGGTATAGTTAGTTCTCTTGTTCGGGTGGGGATTCACAGTTGGCACATCCCCAAAAGGCCCGGTAACGTCACCGACAAACATGTGCACACTTCTCTGGATTTGAAACTGGCGACGCGGACTGCTGCATGCCACCGCTATATTGGATCGATGACTGAGCGACCTAAAATGTGATTGGTCACATAGCCTCGTGTACCATGTGGCTACATATATACGGTGGTGCATGCCGTTCTCGTCAATCATTGGTTGATGTCAATGCTTAGGATTAGGCGTTCAGTCTGAATGTTAGACACATAGAAATCAGGCCCCTGGATTCCACAGCGCCTTCACAGCACTGGATTCATGGCTCATCGTAGTGTGATGTGGTGAGGGTGAAGTAGGGCTTACTACACAGATGTCGATACCCCTAACGCGAGTCCAAACCCACCAACACGTACTGTACCGAGCAACAAGTTGGGTATACTATCTTCGCATGACCACTTGCGTACATAATACTATTTCCTGCACGCAAATGTACATACAAGTTCTCGTCAACGGCGCAATTGTGAGAGTGGTCGTTACTCAGTATTTCATCGAAGTCAATGAGTAACTCTTCAATTGTTAATAGAAGAAATTGTTGATTTGTATTTCAACATAATGAGAGGGGAAAAACGGTGTTCATGGGAATAGAGAGTCACAACAAATCCGCCATTGCACACGGTTTCTTGCCATATCCGAGAGGGTTTCCAGCTATGCATGTTCTGGATCTTTCACATTACACCTAGGGAGCCGAGAGCACCCGACCACAGTTAACTTTGAGGTTAGCTCCTTGGCCCTGGCCTTGGCTCCTGGCCCAAGTCATACGTTAGCGACCTTGCTTTCGCTTTCAGCCGACATCTGCGCACCAAGGAATATACCATTTATTTATTTATGCGAAGAACATGCCCAAGACACTGAAGACTGTGCAGAGCAATTATGCTACTCTGTGGCTCACAAAGTCTGTCTGATCTGAAAATCCTCCGTCGAACATCTTTAGTAGTATGCTGTTGCTATCATGCGCCAGCAATGCTCCGAAGGCAGCGGTGATCAAAACAGACAGCCTCTCAACGTCCGTTGCGCGAACAGGTCAAGTCTCGCAGTTGTAGGGCTGTATCGCTCTCACTGTGGCATTGTAAACTCGCCCCTTCAGAGATAGACAGATCGCTTCGGTGTCAGAGATGGCGGAGATTGGTAAAAGCAACCCGAGCCTTAGAGACACGCAAAGTGACCACATCCGTTAAACCATTAGCGCTGAGGCAGCTTCCGAGGTAAAGGAACTTCTCCACCATTTGCAATGAATGACCTGAAAGAGGATGGGTAGGAGCAGCGTCTAGCCAGTGCTGCAGGAAGACCTTACACTTCGATGGTGCGAAGGTCATTCCAAACTGGGAGACAGACACCTCCAACCTACACAGGACATTTTGGGCGGCCTGTGAGGAATCGCAGATTGCGCCGATGACGTCTGCATACTCCTGAAGCCGATCCCCGGAAGCATCTCGACACCGCTGCGCACACAGTTCTCCAGAGTACTCTCCAAAATTTCGTCCACAGCAAAGTTAAGCAAGAATGGGATGCTGGACAACCCTGTCTCACACGACTGAGGTGAAAGTCCGCCGTATACCTGCACTCGGCCCGAGGTTTGAGAATAGATGCCTTGAATGATGGTGATATACTTCTCGGGCACTCCCCTTCTCAGTAGACAACTCCAGAGAGCAGCTCTGTCGACTGAGTCAAACGCGGCTCGAATGTCTAAGCGGACAACGGGCGTTGGCCGGCCGAATGTTTGACGACGCTCGTGTGTTTGGTGGAACGTAAAAATTTGATCGATGCAACTCCGACCTGGGCGGAGCCAAGCTCGCTTTTAACGTGTGCTCTGTTGGCGTACCAGGTTGAACCTCCTTAAAAACAGAGCTACGAGCAAATTGGAATCAACCCGATGAGACTAGTCCACCCGTGATTGGCGCCGTCAGTTCGGGTAACATTTTTGAAGTTGGTCACGATATCCGCTAGGCTCCAATCAGGTGGAATAATTTCAGTGATCCAGATCTCTTAGAGGAGAGAAGTTAGCTCCTGAAGAAGTGATGGGCCTCCATCTTTGAAAAGAGCCGAAGGGAGTTCGTCTGGGCCAGGAGCTTTTCAGCTCTTCACGAGGCGAAGCTCAAGGGCAACCTCAGCCTCGAATGGTGGTGAAGCGTCTACACACCAAGGAGCACTCTGGACTCCAGAATGGGAACTCATTGGTGCTGCTGGCCAAGTAAACTGCTGCGCAAAATGCTTCGCCCAACGTTCGAATCGGGGTTTTTGGCAGTGGATTGGCTTGCTATTGGTTTCACAGAAAACTTCGCTTACAGCCGGCCTTCTGCCTCCAGTAGATCGGATCAGGAGGGAAAGTTTACGGAAATTCCCCGAGATGGCCGCTTGCTAAATCTCAGTGACCTTCCGCGTTCACCAGACCTCGCGACCTTCCCGGAGAAGCTGTTTGAGCTCAACCTTAGCAGTCATGCATAGTGAATGGTATTTAACCTTAGCAGGAATTGCTCGATGGGCTTCGCGAAGTTGGAGGGATCGTGCAAAGATCCAGTGGTTGACAGAACTACAGGTGAAGTCACAGACTAGGGTTGTAGAATTGTACATGGCGCTGTGGATGTGTGTCCAGTGGGTTGCAATGTTTGTGCACGAGGCCACCTTCAGACTCGAGGCCAACGAATTCTGAAATGCTTGCAGAACGTTTGGGGCAGAAAGCCTAGGTACGTCAAGCCGTTTCCGGTGAAGCTGCTGGGAGCCACCAAAGCGTTGCTCGACATTGGTACACACCAGCGCGTAATCCGAAGTGTGATAGGCACTCCAGATTGATTTGCAATCCTGTATGCAGCTCTGCCAGCAATAGCTAATGGCGAGGTGGCCAATTTGTGTCCACGGCTGGCTAGATGATGGGAGCCTCCAGGTGGCGCGTTCGCGCCAGGATCTCAGAAAGATAGTGCTCGACAAAAACAGGCCGTAATCGGCACAAAGCTGAAGCAGACGATCACCGTCGTCTGTTCTGTGAGTGCCATGGCTGTGTTAACCACCGACTCCACGTTAGCCAACTTCAAGTCTATTGACTTTCGCGTTCAAGTCTCCGGCGAGCACCATGATGTGGTACGGTGCATTTTACGGAGGAGGTCGACCAGTTGAACATAGAACTCGTCCTTAACGGACTCCGGGCTGCAGTTTATGGCAGCGTACGCCGCGACAATGAAAAGACAGTGTCTGCTTGTTACGCGCACGGACAGTCGCACTGAGATTTCAAGTCGGATCGCGCATACATGACTGTTGACATGAATCCAGTCTAGTAGCGCGGCCTCAGTATGTGTCCTCAACACAATCCCCAAGCCAGCATAACCAGCAGCTTCCGCGGTTGTGTCTCCATATAGGCGCAAGTGTAAATGTCAGTGGAATTCGCAGACGGTGAAACTAGTCGCAGCGTCATGCTACAGTCTTGTAAATTGGTCTCGCTGAGGCAGCAGACATCAATGACCGTAGTTTCTGGAGTGCGAGTGGTACGTATTGCTCGAGTACTGCTGGATCGCACCTGGACCCTTAGTCCGCGCAAGAAGTGAATAAGAACACACACCGGACGGGTCGTGTCAAAACTGTAGTGGTTAGCTTGTAGGTTACACCAGATGAATTAGTCGAAAAGGAACCAATCAGCACAAGGAAAAAGAGTGGACGAACCATCTATCGGTCAATCGATCTGTATGTGTCTGTGTTTGCTCATCGGCTCATCGGTTTGGCGGACGACACACATGTAACTTCTCCTCACGTGTCATATGGAGTCACAGTTGTGAAATTTAACTTTCTATCGGCTTAGATGAGCGGTGCTGTTTCCGAATAGCAATCGGCTGATCGATTTCTTCCGTTTGGTTTTTGTTTGTCTCCTCCAGATCTTCTGGAATCACTTTCTCTTCCCCAGGGTACGGTGTGACTGGGGTGCGGGGCCGGATGCAATCATTGTGCCTGCGTACTGTCTGTCCACTCTCTAGTTGTATTTCGGCCTCCGGTTCTGACCTCGTAAGCACGGTGCCAGGCTGCCATAACTGCTCATGTGGTAGTTTCGTATAAAAATCACGTTCCACTATCGACTTCTGGAGCTTAACTGGTGCGCGTCCACTTTCATGCATACGTTGTTGCTGGCAACGCCTGGTCTGACGAGGGTCTGGAAAAAGTAGGTCTAGCCTCGTACGTAGTCGACGCCCAAACATTGCCTCCCCAGGGCTCTTTCCGATAGACTCTAGCGGTGTGATCCGATATGCGAACAAGAATCGGTCAAGTTTGGTTCGTAACGAGCCATTACGCTGCTTTAGAAGACCAGCTTTCACGGTTTGGACCGCTCTTTCAGCTAAACCGTTTGACGCTGGATGGCACGGTGCGGAACTCATGTGATGAACGCCGTTGCTCTGCAGGTATTCTTTGAACGCTGCACTCGTAAATTGCGAACCGTTGTCAGTGACTAATGTTTTCGGTATGCCATGTGTGGATAGACTAGAACGTACGCCATTGATTGTAGCTTCTGCAGTAGCGTTTGCAACAACATGCACATCAATCCATTTGGAGTACGCATCTACTAAAAGTAGCAACATTTTTCCTTCGATCGGGCCAAAGTAATCGGCGTGGACACGTTCCCATGGGCTGTCGGGCAACTGCCAAGGGTGAATTGGGCCTGTTGGATTATCTCTTTGATATTTTCGGCATGTGTTACGAGTACTCAAAAGTGCTTCGATGTCTCGGTCAATCGCTGGCCACCAGCAGTAGGATCTGGCGAGGGCTTTCATGCGGACAATACCTGGATGTGCATCATGTAATTCTTTCAGTACAGCTGACCTGAGAGTCACTGGAATAACGATGCGAGATCCACGTAGGATACATCCTTCATTCAGGCTCAGCTCAAATCTACAATTGAAAAACGGACGCGGATCACCAGGGGCTCGCGAACCCCAGACACGCAGCAGCATACGTTTCACAGTCGATAGAACGGGATCTCTGTCTGTAGCTTTCCTAACCATGTCGCCAGATATGGGTGTAGTATTCAGGTGTTGCAAAAGTTGAACAAACTCGTAGGGCGCGTCACTTCTTTCCTCCTGTTGGTCAACCTGTGGCAATCTACTGAGCGCATCAGCGACATTCTTGTGACGACCGGCAATGTATCGGATTTGATAATTGTAAGCAGAAAGTAGGAGGGCCCAGCGTACCATTCGGGGTGCGTTAAGTTGTTCTATGCCTCGTTCCTTACCGAGAAGTGATAACAGTGGTTTATGGTCAGTCTGTATCTCAAACTGGTTGCCCCACAAGTACTGATGGAACCGCTTTACTCCGAATACTACGGCCAGTGCTTCCTTGTCTAATTGTGCGTAATTTTTCTCAGCTGGTTGTAATGTGCGGGACGCGAAAGCCATAGAACGAACTGGTCCGTCGTGGACTTTATGTCCCAGCACTGCCCCGACTCCAAAACGTGAAGCATCACACTGTAGGATGAGGGGTTTGTTGGGGTCGTAATGTACCAAGACTGGTGAAGAAGCAAGGAGACCTTTTGCCCTGTCAAATGCTTGTTGCTCTTCCTCGCCCCATGCCCACTTAGAATCTTTTTTTCAGCAAGTTGTGAAGTGGTGCTAGAACAGAAGCAAGATTAGGTAGGAACCGACGATAATGTGAAAGCATTCCAACGAACGAGCGTAACTGGGCTCCGTTACGAGGTGAGGGTGCAGAAATAATGGGTTGTAATTTATCTTTCCGCGCGTGTAAACCATGCTTGTCCAGTCTATAACCGAGGTAGTCAACTGAATCAACTAGGAAAGCATATTTGGAGCGTTTCAAACGCAAACCGTGTTCAGAGAGTTTATGCAACACCCGGTCCAACATGTACAAGTGCTCCTTTTCTGTGCGACCCGTGATAAGAATATCATCGAGATATGCGCAAGTGTTCGGTATGTCACGCACGATATTGTCAATTATCCTTTGGAAGATCGCCGGCGCTGAGTTAATGCCGAAAGGCAGTCTAGTGTATTCGAATAGCTCCAAATGTGTACTGATCGTCGTAAGACGTCGGGAGGTCTCATCCAACTCTACCTGCGAATAGGCGTGACTCAAATCCAATTTAATGAACTTGACTCCTCCAGACAAGTTGGCATACAAATCCTCAATTTTCGGTAATGGATAACGGTCTATGATGGCACCTCGATTTACTGTAAGCTTATAATCACCACAGATTCGTACGTTACCGTCGGGCTTAAGTACAGGCACTATCAGGGCCGCCCATTCAGCTTGTTGGACTGGTACAATTATACCTTCTCTTTGAAGCCTTTTCAGCTCGTCTTCCACTCTAGGTCGTAAGGAATAGGGCAGTGTTCTGGCCTTAAAGAACTTTGGTGTACTTGAGTCTGACATATGGATTTTTGCTTTAAAATTATTGAGTCTGCCCAATTGCTGCTCGTCAAACACTTCTGGATATCGTTTAAGGACCGCTTCAAAGGTATCCTCCCCCACGGAGTGGATAGTATTTAATACTTGTGGTAACATTTTCATCCAATCGCGACCAAGCAAATTGACTGGAGCCTGAGGCACGACATGAAGTACCAGACTGTGTGATCTACCCTGATGCTGCACTCGTACCTGACACTTCCCAAGTAAATCAATCACTTCTCCTATATAGGTTCTAAAAACGGTATCAGTCGGTTCCAGGTCGGGTAACGATGAGCGCGTTTTTACTAATCAATGTCACCGCGGAAGCAGTATCCAATTCAAATAAAACAGGTTCGTTATTAACATGAAGCATGATCCTATATGGAGACACTTTCATCATAACTGAGCAGTTTGAACTTATATGGCTCATAAAATTTAGCTGGGAATCTGGGCACTCACCGTCGTCGGAGTTCAATGATTTGATCGAGACTTGTGACCGTGGGGAACGGCAAACACGTGCCAGGTGGCCAAGTTTTCCGCAATTTCTGCACTTTGTGCGAGTATGAGGACACTGGGTGGGAGAAGTGTGCTGATCCCCGCATCGGTAGCAGACGAACTTCCGTACCCTGTTTTCAGAGGAGAACCGTGGTGACAGTTTGTTTACACATTCCACAGGCTGAAGAGGGTTGAAGGTGGATAGTTGGGATTTTAGGTTTTCCCTTTGACGTACAAGGTTACACGCCATTTCCCAGGAAAGGGTTTCTTCTTGCTGCAGTTTATGGCAGCGTCCGCCGCGACAATGAAAAGACAGTGTCTGCTTGTTACGCGCATGGACGGTCGCCCTGAGATTTCAAGTCGGATCGCGCATACATGACTGTTGACATGAATCCAGTCTAGTAGCGCTGCCTCAGCATGTGTCCTCAACATAATCCCCACGCCAGCATAACCAGCAGCTTCCGCGGTTGTGTCTCCATATAGGCGCAAGTGTAAATGTCAGTGGAATTCGCAGACGGTGAAACTAGTCGCAGCGTCATGCTACAGTCTTGTAAATTGGTCTCGCTGAGGCAGCAGACATCAATGACCGTAGTTTCTAGAGTGCGAGCAATGACTGCTTGTGACCCAATCTGCATCAGCTTCCGAACATTGAAGGTTGCTAGCTTGAATTTGGAATGGGGCGCTAGAAATGTCTTGTCAACACGACCTGGGGCACCCTTGGACCTAGGCGGCTGATCTCTATGGCAAGAAGATTCACCCATGGGGACACGGTGTTGTGAACTCGAAAACGGAGGGCGAAGACCACGAAAAAGTGGGTTTAACAAACTTGGAATGAAGTGATTAAACGGTGTTGCGGTAAAACGTGGTTTGGCCGGTTCAGCAGCCAGCACCTCGGCCGAGGAGAGTAGTTCGAGACAGTGAGCGCAGATAAAGCGAGAGTGGAGAGAATGAGTGAATAATTGTTGAGACATAGATCCATAGGTTGTGTGAGCGTGTTTACCGGTTGCCCAGGCCGAGGAAGCGAGTTGACTTAAGGGACCCCACCCGGAGCCTTGGGTCATAAAAGACCTAACCCGCAAGGCAGCGGGGCGATTGACGTATACCGCGAATCGTTGGGAGCCGGCTATCTAGGTGAACGCCTTTCGAGTAGAGGTAAACTACTCAGGCCGCTCAAAGAGCACGAGTAAAGTAGCAAGGGGCCAGGATTCCCTGGACTAGCGAACTCACCGCGAAGCACTAAGGCCGTTGGCAGCCAGGTGGCTCATACGCCTTCATAGAGGCCGGTGGTCATCAAGTTTGTTCATCTGCCCTCCGTTAAGTACGCACTTCTGTGACTAGAATTGAAATGGGATGCGGAGATGTGGGGAGTGGATAGCTCAGCGCGGAATGTCTTGAATTTCTCTCATATCGTCTGCATATCATCTGCGGCCAAGTAAGTGCAGTGTAACAAGGCAGCTCTGAATCGCATTGTCTGAAAATCAGCACGCCAGAAGTTTTGGTGTCTAGCCATGCATTTCTCTTGGACACCGTTGGCAGCGCACTCGAAGGAAATGCTGGCGTTGTCATTTATTTTGCGAAAATAGCTCAAGGATAGACGGAGACTGTCTTTCCATAAACCATTTTGGCTGATCAGCAGACTGACGTA